AACTCGGATTTCGGCATTCTTTATATATCCAGAAACCTTGAGACATATACTACAACTTGGTTAAGATTAATTCTTCTAAATAATCTTCCATCAAAAATTGACTAGCCCGGATCTACGGGCGTTACAGTTGTCATCACTAAATCATCGAGGGGCCCACACAAATCATCGAGGGGCCCACAGATATTGCTTTTATCCCTCTTAGGGTAAAAGGAACGGATAAACTTCGACACATGTGTTTTCTATATTTACTCATCAAATCACACACAATGATACGTTTTATAACACCGAGTTACTAGTGCGTTTACATATCATCAATGTGCAACCGACTTGTAAACTGCAACTCATATCTCATTTTCAAGAATATAAGATATTATCGTCTCATGATCACTCGTGATAAAATCCATGAAGTGATTCAAATGAGTGCGGGTTTAGTCCAATACTCAAATCTTATTACAGGAGTACTCATGAATATTGCAGCAAATTTGTGCTATGTCTAAACACCTTTAGACAATCTACAGACCCATTCATGACAGTCTAGCTTCAATACCTACTTCCAAAGTATGATCGACTGTGGATAGTTTGAATAATTTTATTATTTGGGAAGTCAAAACATGCAAAGTGAAACACAAGAATAATCGAATCTAATATGGTATCAGCCTTTTGAATATAAATAAAACACTTTTTATTTAATCACCATATTGATTACACATTATTCATTGTATAATGTTTCGATTTATCAACTTTATACTTGAATTAAAAACAATAGTTATCACATGCTCCAAGCATTCACACTATGTTTACCTGTGGTACTTTCTTTGTGAAATAGATCAATTGAATACATCTTCAATGAAACTCATTTCACAACTCCAAATTCTAATTACTAGTGTAGGAATACCAATTCTTGTCACTAGTAGAATGTGTTATATTCTTAACTATCATGCAATGTACCTTTTGTAATGTCGAGGTACCAAAGTCACAGAGACTTTGCCAACGATATTACAGAGTATTCCATTGGAGATTGTTACAAGACAACTCCACGGAAATGAAGTCTCACATTCAAAGTACATTCCTTTGAACATCCTTCTTGCATAAAAGTTTCTAACTTTCTCATAGATTCTTAATATCCAACTCCCATTATGGAAACATTTCCATATTTGTCATATGACAACTCATTATTAGTAGAATCTTGTCTATTCATAATAATGTCAATACAGTCCATTCATTACTATAATTCCAACTGTCCTTAAGCAACCAATCCTTAGTGAACCTTAGATTGTCCTTGACAGTTGTTTAACCACTTTAGTCATATCCGGTTCTAGTCCTTTTTCCCTCTTAATGCCCTAGGAATTTGGAAAATTAGAACACGAGAATATTATAGCATATGCAATCGATCCTATACCCGAAGCATATAGGATACGATTCATAATGTCTTACATAAAAACATGATACTTTACCAGTCTCTTGCTATAATAATTTCATATATAGAATTTCCTTATGTTGAACCATTCCAACATAACATTCATATATATCCTTAACTAAATTTGATTAAAATCTCACAATCTAAGCTTTTAGATTCGAAATAAAGTATAAGTATTCTCTCCCTTAATTATAGCAAAACAACTTTTCAAACTCTGCAACTTTGTGAATTGAAACTTGTGTTTTCTATAATTAACATTGCTAACTCGCAACACTTAACATAATGATTGTGCTCCCACTAGCATAATAATTACAATCTTATTAGCATAACACTTATGCTCCCACTAGCTTTGACATGTACCCAGAAAGGCAGAAATAAGTTGGATTTCTAGAAATCAATACTTGTTGACTTTCTTACCAAAGTTTAGATTACTGATACAAGATGCTTCGATAAGACTTTATCTAGGCTTCTCAAACTCATACACCTTTTCCTTGGATAGCTCACATGTGTGTCTAAACAATTTTAGAACTTACAACAATAAGTCTCAAATGTTTAGACCTTTTGTTATTTCTCACAATTCGAATTATGAAGAGGGATGCCGTAATCATAATCGAATTTGAGAATGCAATTAACACAACTGCTATCTTCTCAAAATCTTCTTAGTGAAAGTGTTTCCTCACACTCATTTTCATGAAATGGAGAGAAACTTTTGTCACTTAGATTTTATGGTGTATGTGTTCCTATCCATGTGAATCTGTCATTTCCAACCATTATCATAAGACAATGTCTATGACAAATTCAAACTCATATGGACTGAACTTGTTCAATCTTAATTTCTAGCCACTTGGCAGCACAAGGGCCTACCATGTTTTCCAAGTTGCTTAGCAGTTCACCCTTACTGATCAATGAACTTTCACTGATCAAGGTGCATTGCCTTATGCAAACAACTGAGAACTCATAGAACTCACATGTATAGTCAAATTTAACTGGAATGGCACAAAAACAAGAATATGTCAACACCATAGGTTACAAACCTCAAGTCGTCTGCTAGTGATAAACAATAGGTTTTATTCTTGATTAGTTCTTGAAACTATTCAAGATCTTTAAGACTCCCACTGTCCTCTTGACATATAAGATTCTCTTGTCAGGAAACATTCCTTGACAAACAAATATTCAAGAGTTAGTGCGGATTCTTATCAAGAATAACACTTCATATAATTGGTCTTTGTTTTATCCAAAACATCGCAACTACCGATTTGAATGTGTTATAACCTACTTAAGATATGTCACTCAAGTCATAATCTTGGAGAATAACTCTAAGACTCGATTTTGGAACGAAGTATGACTCACCTTAATTGATTTAACCATTTCAACAATTCACGATTCCTCTTCTTAGTCATACAAATGCACTAAGATGTCCTTAGAGGATCAATTGTGCTATGACTTTCATAATCATTAATATGATCATAAAACATGATGCTAAAGTACTCTCCCTACTTTTCAGTTTGGAGAAACTTTTATTTTTCTGCCTAATTTATTCTTCTTATTCGTTCTGCTATACATTGAAACTTTTCCAATGTTCCAGAATTACACTTAAACTTGTAAGCATAACAATATTTACTAAACTTTTAGTAAATCATGACGAATAGTCTTATCGATATTTGTGGTGGACCTGACCAGTGCACAACCAAGTGTACTAGATCCCCTAGTGCTTTACTTGACTCACATCTATATGTGAACAAGGAATCAGTATTAATTTCCCAAAGATGAAGGTTCTCATTCATCATACAATACAAGTTGCATGATTCCAAGTTTTTGTTCAATTGAAACTTGGGTGATGAGAATCTTTCCTTATTTGGTAAATTTTAGACACTACCACAAACGAAAGAATCAAATCCATATTGTTAAAAATATATAAACACCAATTTTCACAAATGCCATTGCAAGGAGATATAAAATAAGACAAAATCAAAATTTTATTCTTTATTTATAAAATGCGGAAAACCTTTCCTTACAATGCAATTACAAATGAAGACTATGTTACTACATATTTCTAAGCAATCTATCATAACTCCTAAGTAGTGGCTCAAAAATCTTGATCATCGAACCATGCGATCGAAATCCATCTCTTCGCGATCAGACTCGGCTGACTCTTCCTTTAAGCTTCCTTTCTTTTCTTCGATCCTACAAAACATAAAAATGTAATCTTATCACATCATGTATTAAGAATCTACAAATAAGAACTTAATAGAGTTAGATAGTGGAATTACCTGAAGCAGAGTCAAACACTTTTGACTTTACCATCCTTGTGGTCCTTCAGGTAGATACAGCAGCTTCGCATCCAATGCCCCTTCTCTTGGCAGTAGAAACAAACAGACTCTTTCGGAATAGCACACGGGACAATCTCAGACTTAGCCTTCTCTCTACCATTTGGTCAAACGGTTTGACCATGGCCGATCCCTTTCCATCGGGAAGAGAAGACTTTTCTGGACTTCCAATGTTTCCATTGTCAATGTCCATGGAAGTTTGGGAAGTAGATCTTCCAATCAAATTTGCATTACCAGTGCGCCAAATCATTTCTAATTCAGCAGCAATTAGCAAATAGGTAAGATCAATAAGGGTCACGTCGCGGTCTGTCATATAGTAATCTCTAATGAACTCACTATATGACTTAGGAAGTGATTGAAGAACCAAGTCAACACCCAACTTCCTCGAGGCAACGACACCTAACATTCTCAGCCTGTCAATGTGTGACTTCATCTCCAAGACATGTGCACACACAGACTTTCCATCTTCATGTTTGCTTGCCAAAAGGGCTTGAGTGACCTTGAACTTTTCAAGTTGATGAAATTGTGGGCCAGGGAGAATAATAAAGGAGGTGGAAGAAGTGAAGTATGATATTGGATAAATATCCAAATCAATAAGATCAGCACCACCGTAGTTTGGATAAATCATCTCAAATCGGCTCAAATTATGGTCTAATCTCCTCTCCACCTCCAAATGTTCCTCCATATCACCTTCACTTGACCCACCTTTTTCATCATCTTTGTCATTTCCAGGAGAACGAAGTCTGATCAACCCTTTCATCGATCCATACCCATCAACACCCCATTCTTCTTTCGCCATGTCAACTAAAACCTCTCGAGATGAAGAAAAAATTGGTGTAGGGAGTACAGAAGGAGTAACAGGGCATGGAGAAACCAAAGATGTATTTCGTTTGTCATTTCCTTTCTTCCCCTTCCAGTTTTTATTGTTTCGTGTGCCCATAGGTTTTGAAGAAGACGAAACAAAACCAGAAGTCTTTGTGTTCGGATTCCAGAGCTTCAGCTGCTACGGAAGCGCCGACGGCCACATCTCGTAACGGTCACCTCGACTGTTCAACATCCCCTGAGACATGATTGGAAACTACCATCACTGTCAGTGGTATCGATTCCTGTAACCGGTTCGCAATCTAACGACAACTCTCCGACGAGATTCAATAGTGGGTTTTTATTTCGGGGGGTTAGCTAACTATGTAGTTCCATGTCGGAGGTGCTTTGGTGGTCGAGCTCTACGGTGGTAATGGAGTTTCAATGTTTTTGGAGGTGAGGGATAAAGACAAAGGTGGGTGGGTGGGTTTACTGATGAGAGAGAGTGAGAGAGAGAGAGAGACCCTTTGAAAATTAAATAATATATTTCTTTTTTCTTCTTCTTTTTTTAAATAAGACAAAACTGGTGGGTTTTATGTACTATAACACTCCTATGGTGCACATACAACCCTGATAACTTTGGATCTAAGTTTTCTCTAGTTATACGTGCAACAAAATTTTCAAAGCTTGAAACCTACAACTAGCATACAATATTGGTAACTGAAACATAAAAGTAAGCTAGAAAAATACATCTTGATTGTAGCTTGTAGGAGTTGGTCTTTCAAGAGTCTAGCACCTCAAGTGTGATGCATCAAATGTCTTATGACAAACCAAGAACAAGAGGAGGAACTTGAGAGAGAGGTTTGGAGACACAAACATTGTCTAGAGCTTCTTGGAATCACTAGTGCACGATTTTTGGCTTAGGGGTCACATTTATATAATGTAGAATGCAAGAGTTAAACCCTAATCCACTTCCTTGGGCCTTAATTCAATAATCCATATGATAAGCCCTTTGGACTAACTCTTCATGGAGTCTTACATGAACTTAGTCAATTACTAATCAATATGGATCATTAGCCCAAACTATATATATCACTGATTTACACAACCAGCCTCCGTTAATTTAATTAGTCTCTTTTGATCACTAAATTAATTGCAAATTAATTCTTGATCAATACTAATTAAATAATATGATTTCTCAATTAATATATTATATTTTATAATATATTAATACAACACATTAACCTCTTTCTCAAATATTCATCCTATCAAATTGTTCCAGAGTGTTACAGTCCAATGGACCATGATTGTATCGGGTCAAGTACATACCAATGATAGTTATGGGCTTAGACACCTAATCCAACAAAAACATCATAAATGGTCATTGTGGTAATGAAATAACGGAAATGCCTTCCGAATTTAATAATCAAATAATAGTTAACGGCCAAAAGTTAACGAAGCTAATAAAAATGACCAAATATCAAATGTATTGAAAGCACATAGACCATCTGTAAAATTTTTGATATTTAAGGACTAAACACAGAGACCAAAAATAGTGTTTTTTCATGAATAAATTAGAACTTATTTTGCTGTTTTCCGAACAAAAAAAAAGTTTAATTGGAAACTTAATGAGATACAAATGTTAATACGTATGATTAGTTCTATTTTCAACTGTTGAACAGAATTTGAATACGGAAATAAAATTATTTATTTGCAACTTTATGTATTTTATTTTGTCGAACACGCATGTGACGCGGCAATGTCAAAATAAAAGAAATGAAATAAAAGAAATCGTCGGTAGAGAGTGGGCTCCACTGACCCATATGTCTTTCTTCTTCCACCAGCTATTATGCTGACTCGTTAATTTGGGGCCCACAAAACAAAAGGACTACTTCTTTTTCTTTTCATTTCATGGGTGATGGGCCTCCACGACTCGTTATTCATTAACTTTTATTTATTTATTTTTGGTTGGTAATATATATATATATATA